TTGTTTTCTCTGTTTGTTCTGTCAGTCATTTTGAGGTACGTCAGCGCAGATCAGAGGTGAAGTGGGGGTTCACACACACTAACACCCATACCTACACACAATGCCAACGCAACGCTCACGTTTCCGTCTCTAATTGCCACACACACACACACACACAAACGCACACTCACACACACACGCACACATCGATTATCTGTGTAGTTGATGGCTGACTGTCGAGCGACGCGACATTTTTGCCAGATGCTTTTGGCAAATAAACACATCAGGCGATTAACACGCACACACAAAACAGATCGGGATGTGAATTTAATGGGTGGGCAGGAGGAGGACGGGAGGCAGGCGTAGAGCGGTTGGTGGAGTTGCTATTTAAGTAAAAAGGGACACGTTATGACAACGGCAGCGATGACGACGATTACTTTTGTTTGGTTTGAGGTGCGACAAAATGAAGTGGGTGCATCCAGTTGCTAGACCCCCTACCCCTACCCCTACTCGCTGCTACGCTGGAACTTGCGTGTTAACTTTTTTCGTAAATACACATTATTATTATCATTATTTGTATGCCCTCTCCAGATGGTATTGTAATATTGTCACCAAACGTGTAACGCATTGAGTAAATCAATATTGTGCAAAAACTTTTCCTTTTGTTCATATATCCTTGCCAAAAATCAGCAGTTGCAAGTGAAGTTTTTCAATGTTACCATCAAATATGGTTGTAGATATGTCAGAAAATATTATTATCATAGGGTATTCAATCTTTGGCACTGTGTTGAAAACTATGCTATTTTTGTGGCAAGCGGGAGTCATTCTTAATGAGCCGCCGCCAAAAACAGCGTGGAAAAGTGTGCAAAGGCGACAATGACAATTGACATGCAACTGAGACTGGGACTGGGACTGAGACCAAAACGGGGACTGGGTCAGGGACTGGGACAGGGACTGGGACAAGGACTGGGAATGAGACTGTAACTGAGACTGTCACGCCCCTTGGTGCTCTAAAGCAAGCTATTTATGCGACAAGTCGTTAGGTGTTTGGTTATATAGAGGAGGGGAATGGGATATGGGGTATTAGCTGCGTGCTCTTGTGTCTTATGGGGAACGAGGCCATAATCAAATTTTATGGCAAACACTTCAGCCAAGAACGACTAGCGCCAAAGGAGTGCCTTTATCTCACTCTCATTCTCTCATACTCTCACCCATTCTCGTATTCTCTCTCTCTGTTTCTCTGTTTGTCTCTGTTGTGCATACTTTTGCGGCCCATTGGCTGTTTGACATTGGCTGGAATTTGCAAGTGCATAAAAGCCAATTTGCCATGCCTGCAAATAGCTGCAAGTGGCAATTTATTAACACAGCGCACACGATTTGTGCATCAATTTCGAAACAATATAATCGCCAGGTGGCCATGGCGTTACACCATAATCGCCAGGTGGCCATGGCGTTACACCTGGAACTGGAGTTGTTGCTGGAGCTGCCACCTGGCGCTGGAGCGAGGACCGAGACTTAACTGGCGCACCTGGCCTAGAAAGCCAAACACTATTGGGCTGGGCCCGGCTGGCTTCCTTTGCCTACACTAGCAAAATAATAACATGATCTGGACTTAAAAAAGTTGGTTTTCAACAAGCAAGTTTCTGAAGGACTAACATCTCATTTAAATACATATCTCAATGCTTGGTATTTTAAAGTGTGAAGATGAATGAAGATTATTTCAGATATCAAAAATTACTATGTGTTGCCTAAAAGTAGAAATAAATATTGCTGATTAATGGTAAGTGATTCTGCTTTAAGGAAATTCTCCTCGCAGACTTAGACTTCATTTTTTACAACAGCAAAGCACTTCTGATTCTGATTCTGATTGCGATTTTATAAATTCGATGACATTGATGTTTTTCTGAGTGTTGCAATTGCAGTTTTGCTCTCCTCTATGATTATTAAAAACGCTCTCCAGACACGTGAAATGAGCTATGCAACTTAGACGTGGCCTAGCCCGGGTCTGAGTCTGAGCCCGGCTCCAGCCCCAAAGGCGAAGCTGCTGCAGCAAAAAAACCTGTTTCACTTTCTTAGTTTCATGGGTACATACTACTTCCACCCAAGCATATAGAAAAGCGAGAGAGGAAGATAGAAAGTAACAGTCAGAGGGCGAAGAGGGGCGTCTATATGAAATAAGCAAAACTAATATTTCAGCGCCATAAATCATAAAATGAAATAGAAATGACTGCAGCCACGACTCTGCCCAGAGGGTGCTGCGGTACGAACAACGGGCTGCAAAAAAATAAAATAAAAATGAGAAGAAAAAAATGCAGAAACATAAATGCTAAAGTGAAGTATTTGAAATAAAATCGTAGAATGGAGTAGAAAAAGTATGGGGCAAGAGGCCCTTATAACTTATGCAGCATAAAGGTGCAACATAAAACAGCTGTATGCTGTCCAAGTGCATACAGTGGCACAGAACAGAGTACTGTATATATAGTTTGAGAATCATACAGTATAGCAGTATCTCTTAAGACTCACATGCTCACTATATTGAAGGAATTGAAGGGTCATTGACGGTATCGATGAGTCATTGACGGTATCGATGTTCGCAAAACGGAGGGACTTATCTTATCACTATGATAAAAACTTGGTCTGAGCATGGTATAGTTCTTATAGTCTCCGAGATCCGTTTGTTCATGCAGACGGACAGCCTGCCGACAGCGTCGACTCTTGATGCTGATCAAGTATATACATATATTTTGTTCTTTTAATTTGGGCAACTTCATTAGCAATTGTGAAAAATGCTGTAGTTCATCTGCAAGATGATCTATATAATCAAAGAACATATTTACTTATCGACTTTGGGTATAGTTTATAGATTGCAATAAAATTGCAGCCCACTGTGCCCCCTGCCTGGACAACTCCAAGTGTAGCAGTTACTATTACCAGTAATCGTTGCTGTAACTGTTAGTGTAACTGGCAGCACTGCGCTTCCTGGCACACGTTCTTGTGCTCTTGGCGATTGTTACTATTAGTGGGGTGGGGGTTTGGTTAGGGGTCACTTGTTCATTGTCATAAGTGCCGTTTACATTCAATCTAAACACTCACCGCCTGCCTGCCTGCCTGGGTTGGACTGCTGGGATCGGGAATTGGCGGTCAGGGGTCAAGGGTTGAGCCAAAAACCGGGGGGTATTGCTGCTGGATTAGCTCCTCGAACGAACGGATGCGGTGACTAGAGTTCAATCGATTTCTATCTGGCAGAGCATAAATCGTTTTGCCACATGCACCACAGCGATCTGCTGCTCGCTATGACTACACTCAAAGAAATTGGAAAAGTGCTTCAAAAATTAAGTAGAATTGTTTGACTATAATGAATTTTGCATATTATAAATCAAATTTTTAACAAATATCAAAAAAAAAAGCCTTATCATGTATCATAGTCTTTATCTTGACTTTAATTAGAGTACTTTCTATTTTCAAGCCACACATTTCTACAATATTTAAATTTAGCTCTCAAAAAGGCAGAAAAATAAAACTATTTTGAAAATGTACTTTTTGAGTGTACTACTCCTACTACAGCTAGTATTGCTACTGTCGTCCCTCTGGCACTTGCGTTTGGTTTTTGGGAGCTGAGGCCGTAGCAACATAAGTATAAATTTCAGCAGCCAGCGGCAATGACTTCTGGACCTGCTGCTCGTACCCGTTTTCCCTATATTCCACAATGCGCGCTATGTTTGTATTGTGCCCACGAGCGACTGACAGCGTTATTTACTGCTACTAATTTCGTAGCATGAGCCACACCATGCTGCTGACCCGTACATATGAGCACCGAGCACAGGACACAGAGCACCGGGCTCCGAGTACGCGGGGCATGATTTCACATGGTCGAGATTTGCATATTTTGATGATACATAGCCAAGCGGGAGAGACTAGGCAGCTGGGAGACTGGGCAGCTGTGTAAGAAGTGGGTGAGTTGGGGTTGGGTTGGGAATGGGGATGGGGATGGGCGGAGTATTGTTGCCTCCTTGGCACTCGGAAATTTATGCAAAGCCGTAACCAAAAATCGCGCCAAAATTCAAAACGCGCGGTTTTGTGTCTGCATATTTTAATTTCCTCTTTTGTGCCGCTGCCTGGTCGCATCCTGCAACTGCTGCCGTTAACATCCGGCTTCCGAATGACCTGCAGGTAGTGTCAGACCGAGTACGGCCTCTTTGGCGCTGTCCCGTCTCGTTCTATCCTGGACAACGGCCGTGAGATGCCTTGTCGAACGATTGTTTGTTGATTCCTTTTCACCTTTGCATTATTTTTCCTACAGTTTTCGTGCTACCAATTTGCTGACGAATGGCATCAGCGGCACTACAACTCTCTCCTTCCCTTTTGTCCGACCACAATTGCGTTCAATGACTCTATAATAAAATTCAGCAGACCTCCCATTCAAGTTGCCAAAAATTGTAAGTTTTATTTTTCATATTACTTCACCCGAATGTACAAAAATGCAAAAAACAAATACAACGTGTTGTTGACACACTTAATTGATTTTTTGTTCATCCGTAATCCCCGAATATGTTAAAGTAATTATAACCGATTGCTCAAAGCTTTCTCAAGAAAATGGGTAAATTATTAATATTACTTTAATGTACGGTACAGTGTTTTAGTCAAGTACCCTGAGATAATGCTGCTTTAGATTCTGCAAGCTAGCTCACACTGATTTATAAACTGAAGAAGGTGAGAAACTAAAAATATCCTGATTAGTCTATTCTAGTCTAGTCTATTAATAAACCTAATTTGGCGGTGGCCGCATCACGGCTTGTCTTCATTTTATTTTTATTTTTATTTTTTTTGCTAGCATAAACATATCGATCTAAGACAATAAATATAAGTGCATTAGAGTGTCGACTAGCGCATCGTTTTCAGTTTTATGTTTCGTGTTTCGATTTGATTTTGTGGTGTTTTTCCGTTGCGAAATTGGAAATGCAGTGTTTTTTTTTGATTTGTTTTTTTTTGTTTTTGTTTTTTTTGTTTTGTTTTTTTTTTTTTTGTTTTTTTGTCCATCGCATTTTGTCTGTTGCCGGCACAACGTTTGTAATCCGATTCCTGGTTGGAAGGGGAATGGAAGTGAAGAAAGATTGAAATTGGTGAAAAGTAAAGTTTGCGGCAGCAAGCAACGCGTGTATCCGTGTGTGAGTCTGAAACGTCATCATCACAATCAGTCGCATTCGAATCTGTTGAATCAGTATCGGTTGATTCAGTTGAATCAGGCGCTGGCCGCATTCGGGTTTTGTGTTTGTCCATGAAATTGAAAACGGCAGCTGTCGCGGCCTGAAATTAAAAGATGGTTTCAAAATCAATAAGCAACTCGAATTGCAAATTGGCCGATGGACGGCTATCGAACTGCGGTCAATGCCAGCGAACCCACAAATATTGGGGCCACAAGAGCAATGCCGAAAACTAAATACCAAAAGCCGACAAATCTGTTAAAGCCCGGGGTGCTAACCCAGGGACCACCGACACAAGACCTTTTACTTGAGCAAAATTATTACTTTTTGCTATCGTTGTTGTTGTTTTTGTTGTTGTTGCTGTTGTTGTTGTCGTGTGCCTATTAATCCCGTCGTGTTTCTGCGGCTTGCCGGCTGCCAGGAGGCAGCAGGATATCCGGCATTTATTTCGTTACAGCAGCAAGCTTTTATGTTTTTTTTTTTCCTGGTGATAAGATGCGTCCAGCTGCTGGTGGCAACATACGGCAGCAAATTCAAATGGGAAATGAAAGAGATTTTTATCGCCTGACGACGACGACGAGCAAATCATAAACTAGGCCAACACGGAAATCCATTTTATCATCTTATTATATTTATATTTATTTTATATATATATACATACATATACATGTACATATACATATACCTTTTTGGGTGCCAGAATATGCTGTTTGCCGAATACCTAAAAAACAAAGTTAATTCACTGTGCCATAATGACTGTTCTGAGTTCAACAATTGCTGGACGGCGTCAAATGAGATCATTTCTAAACATTTTCTAGTATGCTGAAACAATAGTTTTGGTTTTTAATTATGGCAGATTTTGAGTCAAAGGACCGTCGTAAAACAGATAAATTAATCGAAATTTAATTCGTATTAAACTTCATATTTGAGATTCATACGAAATCTATTGATGTAATGTAAGGTTTCGAAGGTCCTATCTATAAATAATTGGCTCTGTTGCTTAGGATAATAATAACATATATGGAACCATACTTACAGTTGTATTTAGTATTTTTTTAAGCTTTAAACTCATTAAGTTTGAGACATCTCATCATCTCTATTATCTTCCAATTTATAGATAAGTCTGTATCGGTTTTAATTGCCTTATCGCAAATCCGTTGCCAGGCAACGGCATCATTTAATGCATGTCCTAGAAATCCGTACTTTTCACAATGTTCCTCTAGCGTTAGAGTTGGGTTATGTATACGATTCAATAATGGAGAACACATGTTAACAATTCGAATTTGTATATATTTAGCGGCTTCTTTTCGCCTTTTCCGACTAGTTCGTTTTTTCCTTATCACATCTTGGGGTAGATGCGGTTCAATCAACTTGGATATATCTCGAATTTTCGGTATGACGCAACCATATATCGCAGTATCGCCCAATGCTTGCAATCCAATGAGAGAGCCATAAATCGTTGTCAAGGATGACTTCTCGAGTCCACTTTTGTACACACTACAATCAAATAATCGATTAAATACAGTACAGCCAAAAGATACTTAATGTAACACACTTCATAAGTCTCGGGACCATACGATTGGTACTGTTTGCGAATTTATTTATAAGCTGACCCATAATTTCACATGCGTATTCGCGAAGCTGCCAATGATATTTATCTTTAGCTGTTGATAACTTGTTTGCGACCTGACAGGTGACCACCGCTGGTATTAAGAGATGTAGCTGCGATAGCGAATAATTATGAACACATACTCGTTTATGCATACCAGCGAATTTCAACTTACAAAGGGTTGGATCCTCAAGTTGGCATTGCAGTGCAAAATTGCTACCATTTGCATTAGATATGACAGCAGGGTCAAATTTTTTAGCACCACATTCAGATTGACTGCATCGGCAATAAACCGACACAGCTCTGGTAGAATACGACAAATTGATGCGTCCTCGCGCAGGACTTTCAGTGCATTTCGCCGTGCCGTGTCGTTGGGGCCCGTACATGATTCTGTGATGTGTATGAAGAATTGGTGTTGTTCCTTCTTTAAGTGATGCCCCATGACTGACTTAAAACGTACTTCATCGGGATTAAAAAGAAGATTTGATAAATTTGGTCTTAACATCTTTGCAGGTTTTTCTCCATTGTCTGCTTCGTATTTCGAAAATAATTTTTCTAATTTCTTCAGAGCTATTGCTTTAAGTTCATCTGGTTCTGTGTCGTTGCTGTTATCTGTAAGACTGTCCCCAATTGAGCACAGAAGATGGAAACCGATTTTAAACTTCCTTCTTAAAGTCAAAAGATGTTTTGCTTTTATAATTGTATTTGATTTGAATTTCTTATATTTCTTTGTTAAATTCTTAAGGTCTCTTAATTTTTTCATTTTTGATATTTGCTCGCATATTAAATGCTTAACTGGTTTTGATTTCTTCTTATTCCTTGTCTCCGTCTTCCGCTTTGGCTCCTTTTTCCCGCGAGAATCCACAGAAGATCGCAGAAGATCGAAACTAGTTTCATTCTTCCTAGTTAGTTCCTTTGGTTGTTCCTGATCAATTGGGGACATTTCTGATTCGGATTTCTTAAATTTCTTTCTTAAATTTCCAAGATCGCTTGTTTCCGTAACTTCTCTCAGGTCTTCGTCATTCAAGGCAAAGTTTGAGTATTGCTTTCGCTTTCGTATTTGGCTCTGGTCTTGCATTGGTCGTGTTTGCTTGTAGTGAGTTTCAAACCGCTCGGCCATTTCGTGTAGAAAACTTAGACCAATTCGAAACCTCTTCGTTGAAGCTTTACGATCTTTCCTTTTTTGTCGCATTTTAGATTTTTGCTCAGTTGAAGACATTTTTTGTTCACAGTATTTGAATTTCTTTGCTAAATTTGTGTGATCTCCAGATTTTGGCAGCTTTGATGATTCATCGTCAAGTAAAGGCATGTTTGGGTAACGCCTCTTCTTTTTCTCCCTCTTTCGCCTTAGTCGTCTTTGTTTTTTGGCTTCCTCCAAGTTCGAAAGATCCAGAAGAAATTCCATTTTTTTGATTAAAGAATTTGAAGGATTTTCTGATGCGTTGCCAACAGATTTGTCTGTCATATGCATTTGTTCACCTTGCTTTTGCTGCTTATCCTTAGGCCAGTTGACCTTTACCAGCGAGGGACACACAACAGTTTGATGTTGCTCTAAAGCATAAATAATGTGCTTCTTCTGAACTGTGGCAGAACGCGACCATTTGGCACCCTTGACGGCATCCTCTATAATATTGCTAAACTTTTCCCGCACACACTGTCCGATTTTTTTAACCATATCTTTACTCAACGTTTGTGTTATGGTTTGCTGGGCGATGGCCTGCAAGGATTTTTCTGAAATCGTTGGTTTATAAGTCTCTTTTACAATCTCCCACATTTTAAACGTCCAGTTTATATTTTTCTTTAATTTGCAAATAAAGAAACGTATTTATGAAGCACCAAGTACGAATGACTTGTCAAAATGTACAATCATTTATCGGTATACCTTAATCACATTACACAACACTAAAAGCTAGCGATGGAAGTTGAAAATACTTCACGTGATAAATCGTGATCAATTATTCTTTTTTATTTATATTATAAAATATTATTATTTTTCAATATTACTGCAGAATGTTAATTTTTGAATATTTTTCCAGTGGTTTTCTTTAGCTGGAAATACCACAAGCGTTAATCACATGGCGTTCTCACTAATATCTATTATCTGTAAATCAGCAGATATATATTTGTGAATTATCTTGCTCCTTAGCGAATGCACAATCTGTTCTTGGCCTTAATTTTGTTTGTATTTAACAAAAACTTAACAAAAAAATTATCGTGAAGCTTACAAAATCAATCTTAAATACAGCTCGCCTTGAAAACTACAAAACTTTTCTAATTTTTAGACATACAGAACAAATTTAGAAACGCTTTTCTATTTTTGGAAAATAAATTTCTTAACAATAGAAAATATTTCTAAAAAGTAGAAAGGCAATCTCCTATATTTAGAAAAAATTCTATCTAAAAATCTGGAAATTTAATAATTCGAAATCGAACAATTCTAATGTTTAATAATAATATAAGTAAACAAAAAGCTAATGTTGGAGTTCAGTGTGTAGGCATACAAAAAAAACACGCTGTGAATGAGATGCAGTTTTCTTTTTTAGAAAAATTTCAGAACATATTTGCTGCAATTAAGAAAGGAAAAACCCGGCTTTTTTTGAAAGACGACGACACAACCATACATACTTACTTTCTGAATAATACGATGTCTAAAAAATCAGTGTAATTTTTATTTTGAATGCAATCTTTCCTGATCCTGATGTCAGCAGCTCCCAATGCCGATTAAAGCGTATTGGCAATAGTTTGAAGCAAAGAGAAACAAGGCAACTTTACACCATGCACTTAGTTGTTAATTTCCAATTACACTTAATGTGTAGGTTTAAAGCTTAGTAGAATGAGTAGAAAGTATTGTGTGTTATTTGTATTCGAGTATTTCTCTCTTTTTGTTCTCTACGATATGTGGGGCGGTTTCCTCAGAGCTGGGCGTTGTGCTGTCCTTGTTTAGTAGGCGTGAGGGAAATTAGTTTTCTTATTGTTTTTCCTTTTTTCTTCTTGTTTTTGGTTGATGACCTACTTTTTGGGTATTGTCATTAAAACACTGCTGCCCGGCATTTGCGGTGCCTGAATCTCAAATCTGTGGCAGAGTGAGGAAGTTTCCAGAAATGAGCAGGTAATTCTTATGGCGTTGCCGGTAATTTCCTTGGGGTGTGAGGATTAACGTTAGGGGGGTGTGAATAAATAAGACATTGTTATTGTAATTATTTGTATATGCTTATACATACATATATATTTATATTTGTTTGCTTTTCGTATATAATTTGGTTCAAACCTTTTTACACATGTATATAAGTATATAGCACTATATGAATTTAACGAATAACGAACGTAAAGCGATTCTGTTTTTATCTCAAGATTTACAATTCCCATATATGTAAAAACAAATTTTTTTTTATTAATTATTAGTCTACTCTCCGGGTGTTGTTGTGATTAACTTAAAACGTTTAACATACAAAGCATTTCATCTGTTCTTTTTTTTAGACAACAAATTATATTTCGACATTTAAAGCTTGAAACTTATTTAACGATTCAATGTTGGAAGATAGGCGTTTCTCCAAGATCTTATTCAAATTTACAAATTTGCTTTAAAAAAAAATTGGATTTTTATGTATGCTATTTTTCATTTTAAACGAACAAATTGCCCAACTATGTATTAATTTGCCATATATAATAATTAAGTACAGTTGTGCATGCTAGTTTTATACAATCATTTTGTTTTTTTTACTATATTATAATGTATTGTTTTCTTATTTTTTTTACTACAGATTAAGCACTTTACCTTACTTATTGATTAGCGCTTGCATCGCAATTTTGTAGGTTGAGAATTGTTCCTCACATGTGAAAATGTTGACAGCATTTTTTCTTTCCTGGCCTTACATATTGTTTGATTATTTAAATGTATATCGCAATGATCAAGACCAAGCTAGTGGGAATCGAATGTTTGGGACATCTGCTTGTTAAGGATCGAAAAAATGAGAAATGAAAAACATGAATCATGTGTGGACTAAAAAACAGTTAGTTCCAATTGACAAGGGCATCAGCAGCAGCAGTTGGAGCAGCTAATCACCAGCCAGGTTCACGAAACATATGTGGCCAACAAATATGTATGAACAATAGAATATATGTATGAAACAGCGGCAACAAACGGATTTGCTCTTATTAAACAATTTAAGCGAATTCCCCGCTGACAAATTCGCTTGTCTGTAGCGAGAATTATGTGTGTGTATAGTCAAATACAAACACATGCAATTAAAGCTAAATGAAGCCGAGTGTCCAGACGAAAGTCCGTTCAGTTGAGGTGGCTCACTCGATTGTGGCCATAAACCGCATGCCCCCTGTCCATGCGTCATGTGCAGCAAATATTTGATTTGACAATCAAGAGTAAATAGAACAATTTGGCACATCGACGCTGATGGCGACGATGGCGATGGCGATGGCGACTGCGTCTGCGATGCAACTGTGGTGCATCATTCGGTTGGTGGCGGTGGTGTCAAATGCTTGTCAGACATACGGCGACAGCCATTTGCACCATTTGCATTGGCGGTAAAGTGTGAAATGAAAACACAGCGGCAACCGAAACGCGTTACAAAATGTTAATTTGTAGCAGCAGCGTTAACCGCCGAAACGTCAGCGGCAACTGCGGCAGCGATACAACGGTAGGTGGCATGTGGCATGTGGCATATGGGATGCGGCTGTTGCCAAATGGCAGGTGGCAGATAGCTTACACCGCAAGGTTGAGCTTTGTACTGTACAGAAATTAATGCATACAGCCAGGTTGATGTCTGCTGATGAACATTACGATATCCTGGACACAGTTCTAGAGATGACCTTGCTGCAGCCTCTAGTCCAGTGTTGAGACAGTGCAAAAATAAACAAGCCATTCTGAATATTAGTTTGTTAACAAATAATCATCAATAATTTAAGTCATTTATGTGCGACCTAAATTTCTAATATATATATATATATATATATATATATATATAGTTTCATTTAATTTTCAGAGCCGCGTGGGCGAGGCAAAAAAATCCTCTTAGACTTAAGTTAAAGCAGAACAGATTGTTTTAAGAAGGTATTCAAATAATGTAATTGACACAGTTACTTTTCAAATATGTTCCGCCATTTCCCTCAGAATGCAAGTACAGCCTTTTGACTTGACGTTTGGACTAATAAAAGAAAACTCTAAATATAATAATAAAATTATTAATAATAATGTGCCGAAAATTGAGTACCCTTACAGAAATGCCATATTATGTAAATGAATTCGAATGGCTGACAAGCTGCATTTGGAAACAGAGAAGCAGAGTTCATTGTGCTGCTGTTAATAAATGGTTGCGAAGTTGCTTGCTTCAATCTTAATAATATGTAATAAAAACATTTATGTTGACTTGCTACATAATGAAGCATCGCACAATTTCAATATACCTTTTATGTTTTCGTTGAGTTTGCGATAACAATGACAACAGCAACCTGTGCTGCTGTCTATTTTCAGCAGCAACAGCAACAGCAACAGCAACGGCAACGGCAACATTTGCAATCAGTCGTTGGCTAATATACGACAATAACAACAAAAACAAGAACAACAATGTCGAGGGCAACCAACAACCGCTAACACCAACCGAGCAGCAACCAAATGACCAATGAGCCAGCCACAACTCCGCACATACCGCTGCAGAGAAGCAGAGTAACACATGCACATCACACACACACACACACACACACACACACACACACACATACGCACACAGGCATACATCGTGGACTCATTTGGTATGCTGTCAGTGGGGAGCTTGTCGCATGTTGTTGTTATTGTTGTTGTTGTTGTTGTTGTTGCTGCTGGTTGTGCTGCCGTCTCTGGTCAATGTTGATGCTGATAAGTAGCAAAACATGAGGTCGCCTGTAATTATGCGAGTGTTGCAAGTTAATTGCAATTGTGTGCAACTGACGGTAGCGAGATTAATTAAATTCATCCATGCACGGGCACATCGCAACCAGGGCAGCCAGCACAGCAGCAGAACTATATGCTATATTGCTGTGTGTGTGTGTGTGTGTGTAAATATACCGTCACTCAATGACTGGAGAGTCAATCTGCTTATTTGCCTATGCAGTACACCCAAACACAAACGTGCACACACACACACACACACACACACACGCACACACACACAGATTGTTAATGTTTACTAATTTCATGCATGTCAGTTTTTTTTTATTACTTTTTTTTAATTTTTTTTATTATTTTTGGATAAGCCATTAGCCTGAGTGCAGGCACTGCCTCACCCATTGCAGCCCGCCAGCTAGTCAGGCAGCGAGCCAGCGAGCCAGCGAGTCTGTGTGTAATGTATCGTGCTTTTGTATTAGTTAAGTGATTTATTGTAGTAAAATTGTCATTATTAAAAGTTAATGATGTCATAATTAAGTATGTCGTTGCTGCTGCTGCTGCTGTTGCTGCTGCTGTGCTATGCATTTTATTGTAATATGATTTAGATGCTGACCACGACACTGTACGCTTAAGGGGCGTGTCACACCCACAGTCGCATTTGACCAGAAAATTTATGAACTGCACCAAAATATGTTAAATTCAATTCAACTCAATTTACATAATTTAATTAATATTTGCATTGTATGCAGATCGTTGCGAAGGGGTGGGTGAAATGCAGGAGCCAAGTGACAATTGGATAAAGGACCTCAATAGACAAACAGAGAGCTTAAGCTGCAACGGAAACGTGCAGGACACAAGATGTGTGTGTGTTTTTACAGACATACATCTATGAAAATAAGCCTCTTGTACAAGTTTACGTAAACACATTTACACATACACATTCGTATCTTTGTATTGTATTTTTTGGTAGTTACTTTGTAACCAGACTGACATTAATTGCAGCACAAAGACAGCAGTTAGCAAAACTAAATTCAAGTCTTAAAAATGCGTGTTTATTCTTAAAATGAAAACTTCAATTCTTATTATTCAACATTTTGCTTAGTGAGGGAAAGCAAATAAACATTCTCCTCAGAAAGAAAGTAAATCTGACAAATCTGACAATCTGGCGAAGATCTGGTAGAACAGCACAGACTCTAGACTACAGGGAATTTAATATACCATAAACAATTTTAAGTCGTTTGCGTAAATAAAATAATTTCATAAATTAATATTAGCACATATCTGCGAGTCTTGAATAGCAACCAAAATTACTTGTTGTTTGCCATTAAACAGATGAGAGCCTGTTAAAACTGATGCTTGACATTCTCAAAGATTTAATGCTTTACAGGCATTTAATCCCTTAAGCGTTGTATTAAAATGTTACTAAATTAATCAACTTAAATACTCGACTCAATTAACCAAAGTCTGCCTCAACACATATAAATTGCTGGTGCCTTGACTTTTAGCTTGCATTCCAACATCATTAAGCTATGATATAAATGAAGTAGATCTGATTACTGGGTATCCCAAGTCGAGTGCTTTAACAACAGACACTGACACGTTAAAGTGTCGCTTGCTGCAAGCAATATCAAAGGATAGCAACTATTGTGTGCTATTTAAATAAATGTAAAAAGTAAATGTAATAAATGTGCACGAATTTGTCATGTCTGTCGAATTGGCCTTAACGGGTGTCATCTGCCTTGATCGATGGACAACTGTTATCATTTGCCCGGACCCCGCCCTCGGCACGCCTGAATATAGCATGATGCGATAACCTCGCCTGAATATTAAAAGTAACGCAAGTCAAAACGAAATACGCAAATGCCAAATTTGAAATAGTAAAAGTATTTCAGTATTTCAGTTTGGAGGCGAGACCGAGGTGTAAGTTACGCCACAATACAATGAATAATATTTTTTGAACATTTTTTCTGTTCCTTTTTTTTCCTTTATGTTATGCGAACGGCATATGTTATGCGGCAGATACTTCTCGGTTATATCTACATTGAGAAAAATATATGGCTTCCAATAAAAAAGTTTTAAATATAGAAATGTGTGCAATACTAAATCGTAAATTTCAAGGTAACCTTTATAATTTTATTTAAGTATTATTACTAAAAACTTAAAATAAGAAGTAATGCTCTGGTTTTCTATAGTTTTTTCTCGAGTTTTTTCTGAATGTAGGCACATAGTTCATTTATTGTATTGCACAAAATTTGTGCTGGCCATAAATGCAATATCCTGACGTTTAGTTTAGTTTTGCTAGTTGAGCAAATAAATAACAAATAACTGAAAAGGCACACAGAACACATTCTCCGCATAGGATAAAGTGTCAAGTCAATAATGTCAATTGATAGGGATGGGACTGGTCAGTCAGTTGAGTGGTATTTAGGCTACAAAACCCAACACTGTCATGTGTACAGTTGCCGCAAATCAGTAGTACACGCCGCTTGTCCGTTAGTATTTCACGTCGTAAAGTATTTGGTCAGCGGCTGCTGACATTTGATTGATTGGAAGTCGGCCAACACGGCTATTTGCTGGTATTAAACAGATTGCTGCTGTCGATCAGGGTATAAAAATAATGTACATGCAATTTGCATGCTGGAAGAACACATTAATTCTATTTAAAATGTATTAATTTGAGTCATTATTTTTTTAAAGTGAAATCCCTTGCGCTGCGTTAAAATGTTGCCAACTACATATGTATAAAGGCTTGGCCTACCAAAACAAAAAAATATTAAACTAAAAAAATGTGAAAAAAGTGATTTAAAAAAATGTCAGCCTGCGATATGAACGCAAATATTTATAGAAATTATTATGTGATTTGGCGAAAGTAGCACTGCCCTTAGCCCCCCATCAATGATAATAAAAATTTGTTTTGGTTTGGAGGCTATTTTTCAAACCATATCCCCAGCGTCGCGTCGCTACGTAATAATTTCCCTTTTGGTCATAAAAGTTTATATTTCAGACTGCACTATTTAAACGTGATTTTAAATAACCACAACAGATTTTGTGGTTTCATGTTGCATTTTATATTCGATAAGCGGGACGACCAGGATGCAAGGGAACATGAGGCCGCAGCGCTGACAAGGACAGTATCAGCTCAGTGATAAGGTGAGGGATTTGGGGGTGGTTGATGTAGCATGGGCGGAGGAGAGTTGATGTCGCTGCTGTGGTCAAATTCATTTTAAATGCGAAATGCACGCGTCTGCGGCATATGCACACAAATATTAAACATTGTATTGAATTAAATTTGTTGCAAATACAATTTTTAAAATATTCTACAAACACCTAAAATACTCAACTAGATAGCGAAACTGAAAAAAAAAAAGATTTGGAATCTTTTTTTTAAACAGTTAGAGACTAGTTGAGGCAAAAAGTATCTAGAAGAATATTCTAGTTTTATATGATGTATTACTTCATATGACATTTGTAAGGGTTTACAATTTTCGGCACTTCAATCGATCTTTATTTATTTAATTTTAAACAAATTATAATATAATCAAATTTGTTTCTTGATTTATAGCGAGCTTGGAAATTCTTGACTTGCATGTTAGAAAAATGTATTTTATTTATTGTGTTGCCAGTAACTTAAGAAAGAGCTGCTGTTAAAAAAAAACAAACTAAAAAAGAATAGATTGTAGCTTAATGTCTAAAGGACTGAAAATGACAGCTATTATTAAATATTAACGTTATTACTTTAATATCTTATGCAATGCTTTGGTTCCAGATCGAAACTATTAGACGCACAGCTCGCTACGCTTTCTTTTCCATTTGAGTAAGTAATCAAGTTAATTCGATTTACTCCATACAAATTGTAATTGGTACGTATATGAGTATGTTGACCATATACATATGTATGTGTATATATATATATATATATGTTTATAAATACAGTATATAGCACGGGTGGGTCTTGCATAATGCGTTTACTATATAAGTAACATTCACTAGTTGACATATCTTCCGTTGTCGATAATTAGTAATAGATATTTAATTAATGCTACATTTAAATATTTAACTATTTTTTTTATCTTATTATTGTTACGACAATCTCACGGTGTCACGTATATTATACACTATACGTTTCGCTTCTTTTTTTTTTGTAATTTTTATAATTATTATTTTTTGATTAATATTACTATTTGTCGTTATCTTACATACACATTATGCATACGCCATGTTATAATTTTTTAAGAACTACGCAAAAAAAAAAAAAAAAAACCTCTACATTTACACAGGCTTTTTAGGCTTAAAAAAAAGATATTCACATTAACTTCTAATTAATATTTAGAGGGCTCTTTTTTATATATTAGTGTGTATATTGTATGTACTATATATGTATGTATTGTTTTTTAAATGCCATTTGGCCATGCTGTGCCGGGTTTTCTTTCTTTCATTTCGTCTCTCCTACTCTCCTACTCTCTAACTGTCATTGTCTTCGTCTTGCTGTGACTCTGTCGCTCTTTTTCTATATATAACTGTATATATGTATAGTGGAAGCTCCTGTTGCACGCCACACGCTACTTACGTCTTACGTTTTAAGTTTTATACGGCTCGTTCTGGCATCGACTTCTAGTTTTGTTTCCAACTCGTTGCTGCATGTGTGGGAATAAAACGAGAGAACATTGAGTCAAGTGTCGTTAGGCTCATCAAATCGATAGGATCTATATCGATAATGTGTCTGGGAGCCAGCAAATAATCGATTTGTGTACATATGTATGTAAAACAACCAATTATATGGCTGATTATGATTCGCTTGGTTTCTACTAACCTTTGTAGTAGACCTCGCGGTACATGGTGGGGCAAGCGGCCTTGCCGTTCGTTTTAGTTGTCTTGAAGTCAATGTTGGTGCGAATGGGTCGATGCAGCAGCGGCTGTGGTGGACGATAGTTGTTGCCCAGGGGTGCCTTTGGATGGTCAGGACTGCCCTGCATAAGGCGTCGCAGTGCGTGCAACTGAAAACAACAAAATAGACACAGATGAAAAATTTAATGTAATTCCTGAAATGCAAACAGCCATCTTAATGCTACATTATGTCTCTTCAATTTGATGTCTTACCAGATATCTATGGAACTTAACTACGCAAACTGCAATTAAAAGCACTTTATCCAGTTTTAGTTCACATACCCATTTGAAATGGAAACAGAATCTTAGTAGGGCTCCTGAATACTGCTAATTTTATTTTATTTAATTTTCTATTTATTTTAATATCGTAAGCCATTTTAATACAAAGTGCAACATCGAAATACAGGGTATATCGCAATCAGTCAAGCAGCCTCAACTGAGTGGATGCATGATTCAAAAGATACGCGCAATATAAAAATGTAATAAAAAATAAGTCAACAACTTTCACACTCAGAGAGGGGTTTGGAGAAATTAGGTGTAGGGGCTGACATAAAGGAGAATCTTAACAATAATCGGAATGGGGGAAACGTCGAAAGCGACGAGTCAATACCACTTAATCTACACAATCTGTTTATCAATTGACTTCCGTCAAAAGCGGTTTCAATGACGCGACGGTCGGAGCAGGCAGCGCCCACCCACAGTTTCGTCTTTTCGTCCTTGCGTCTGTTCGTCCTGGCGTTGTCCGTTCAAGTGGAAATTAAGTTATGTGTGGAGCCCACCCAGCTGGAAGCGTGTCGAGGGAGTTAACTAAAAGAGTGCAAAGTGTCGACCCAAAGTGGGTAGACAGCATTGAGTAGCTGTTGGCCCGCAGCATACATACACACAAACACACAAACATACATACAAAGCGGGTATATCAGACTGCATTCATATAAATGTAGTGTAAGCTGTAGTTGTAAGTTCCGTCTCAGAAGTACTTCCCGCAACATTCATTTTCCAACAAGAAGTAGTTGCAAAATCATTGATGGCACTAATTCCCCTTTATAAACGAACAAACTGGGTATTAATTGCAGTAATTTAAGCAATTTAAGGGCAATTTAAGTTACTAGCTCTTCGTAAAGATACAGCCAAATTGTAAATTTATCATTAATTTTAATCTAAGCCGCGTTTCATACGTTGAAATCAACTAATGAAAAGGATTCCTAGGGTTTTTTAGAAAACTCGCTCTTCCGGCGACCAGCCGCACGCGATGGCAACTGAATTATCAATAAATTGATTAATTTTTAACTAATACTTGACTTGAATGTGTCCCTCAGCATGCATTATTCAACTGGATATTCATTTGAATAGGCACTTTGGTGCCTAGAAATATTTGCGACACCAATAAAAGGCTTACAAAATATATAATATCAAAATAGCAACTTCCTCCATTCCTCTGCAATCGGTTGGCCCGTGACTCGAATATTCGATTCGATATTCAATCAATCTGTCAGTCAATCAGTTTTAGACGTGTACATGTGTACATGTGTGTGCAGATGTATATAGATGCAACTGTCGCTAATGTGGCAAATAAAGCTAGAGGCAACTACTCAATTACCGCGTCCAAGAGAAAATGTTAAAACGTTAATTGCAATTTCAGTTTCGCACACAACATGCTCTTTCTCTCTCTCTCACTCTCTCACTCACTCTCTCTCTCTCTCACTCACTCTCTCTCTCTCTCTCACTCTCTCTCTCTATCTCTCTGTTTCGATAGCTATTTTTTCGCAGCGCATCGCACACTTGGTAGTGTTACTTTAATTTGGTAAATTATGTTTTGTTCGCAAGGTGCAGTCGCGTAGCCGTGCAGCACTAAATTACATTGCTGTTGCACTGTCTGGCAATGCCTTCTCCTCATCCTCACTCCTTTAGCTATCTTCATTCCTGATCCGCGGGTGCTACTGCTGCTACTGCTGCTGCTGCTGCTGCTGCTGCTGCTGTCTGGGAGCTGCCGGGCTGCCACAAGTTGTAACCATGGGCTCTCATGGGTGCCATTGCGCTTGTTGAAGTTTTTATGAGTCTGACTGGGCTGCTGGCTGTTCTCTTCTGTTCTGTTCTGTTCTGTGCTGCTCTGCTCTGCTCTGCTCTGCTCTGCTCAGTTCAGTTCTTGTCGCACCTTCCTCCACCCTTTTGACTCCTGCTGCTGTTTGTAGATGCACCCGGCACTCACCGTTTACTTTGTTTACACGTACGCCACCGGCTTTATTTTAGACCCAGTCATCCCCACACGTTGCCCCCTCTTGCTTGATGGCCGTGCATGTTGGCGTCTTTATTACAGCGCTGCACTTAATAAACATTTGCGTTACATTTTGTATGCTGTCTTTTTTGTTTGCTCACAGAAACAGGCAAGCAAAAAAGTGGTCATCGCTTTATTTCATTTATGGTTGCTGCCACTTTGTTGCTGCCACGTTGTTTCTGTTGTTATTGTCAGTCTTATAGCTCGAGAGGATACTTAATTTAAAACTTAAATGAAATTAGCTAATAAAACAAACAACATCACACCAGACCCGACCTACTCACTAATTAGCAAACATTATGTAGCCATCTCTTAAATTGGTTACTCGAGGGACAACCAAAAAAAGGGGGGACAATTCTGAATTTGAGAAATTAAAATGAACTATGTTTTAAATTTCAAGCATCAGCAATTCTTCTTAGATGTTGAAGCGTGTGTTTCTCTACGGACTAGTCTTGAAACTTTATAGGACTCATGTGTATTTATGGGATTTGTTTCGACCAATAACCTGTTCAAATTTTAACTAAATAATGATTTTTACCTCTAGACGAATACTGAATTTGAATTTGGTCAACTTACCTGTTGCTTTGTTATATAGATGGGCTTGTTGAGAACCACCCAGGTGACGGTCTCGTGGCAGGCCGGAGCCGTTGTCGAGCCATCGTATGTCATGTAGTGATCCGTATCGGGCATTAGTCCGCGTATGGAGAGTCGCTTCACGAACACCTCATCGCCCCCATAACGAATGCGGTCCAGCTGATCAGTGAGCATTCTCAGTTCCGGATTGGAGAGATCGCCCAGCTACAAAATATTTAATACTGGCTGCTGCTGCTTGTATTAAAGTTTATGAGAAGCTTACCTGTAATAATATGGAGACTCCAACAATGCCCTGAGCACGATTCAGAGCGTCTGAGAAATTTGCATATAGCTGTGAATTATAGCCGAAAATTTGTATCTGCGAGAAAGAAGCAGAGAGAAAGAGAGAGATAGAGAATAAGAAAGAGATAGAGAGAGAAAGAGAGAGCGAGGACATGAGTAAGTAAGGCTTATAAGAAACCTACATGTAGATACATACATAGATGCATGTATAAATGGCTTAGTGCGATGGTATCCTATACACAAGTTACTCTGTATTCTATTTGTTTTTGTGGCCAACTTTATTGTTGCTCAATTTAAGCCGAAATGCATACAAAGAGCCGACAACGTGTACGCCTTGTTTGCACAGCAGGCAAGGCAGCCACCCTTTGTTTCTAGCCGGAACAGGACCAAGTCCTTGTGGTGGGGGAGCAGGTGGGTCGCAAAAGTGACAACCGTAGTTGGATGAGAGGTGAAAACTCGCCTTGTTTCACATAAATTGCAACAAAATAATCGCAACAATAAACAAAATGCAGACAAATACGATTGCATGCTGCACACACAGATACACACACGCACACACACACACACACCAAGCCAACACCGGATCAGGCGCCTGAATAAAAAAATATTATTCCTTAGCCCACATTGAGGGGAAGTGGACGTGTTGACCAACTATTTAAGGCAGGGTAACGCATTTCACACACACTCCACACTCGAGATCGAAACTGGGTTTTGCATTTTTTGCCAAAAAACCAAAAAATTGGTGACTGCAAAATTATTCGAATATTTTCCAAACTGTCTTCAGAACGTGTTCATTTGCATAGCATTGGTATTTGTATTAGTATGTAGTATCAGAAAATCTGTATATTCTGATTTAGCATTTTTATACTTATTATGGATATTTGAGATTGAATATGCGATATGTTTTGAAACTGCTTTCGTATTTTTTTTTGCATCGTAAAGTGAAAGGAGGACAATAATAAAAATTATCTATTAAGCATATACAATTCTAGATTTCCCGTCTAGAAAGTACACTGCGACGACTTTAATTCCATATCACATTTGGTAAATAATATTACCTTCCAAAAATGAGTTGGTGGCAAGTAGATTTTCAGTAATGTTGACCAAATAGAGAATATACCCACTTTGCTTGAGTGCAGGGTATACGAGAATGTCAAATAGTACTAAAAAATAATGCATTAGATTTTAGAAGTATATGCTTCATTTTTTAATGTGTGCCCAGAAAGGCAAATAGAAATTAAATTAAATTAAAATTTCCCAACTTGTATGCTGAGCTCCCACAAAGAAGCGCATGCAAATAGAGAAGACGACGCAGCAACCGTAAATGCAAATGAAATTTTGACGAGCAAATTGCAAAACAAATTGTCTGAGTATGAGTATATAACACAGACTTCTGTAGCTTGCAAATTGCCAGTGCCAGTGTAAGTTTTGAAATGAATTATTTATCCAATTCACACATTCGCAGCCTGGATTGCGATTGAAGGCATTAAATGCGCACAGCAATTTGCTAAACAGAACTCATATTCCGATTTTCAACGAGATAGAAGAAACATCGCCACAATTTCGCTTCTTTTTTTTTTTTTAATAATATAAAATGATAATATGCTCTGCTTCAGATAGTTTAACACAAGTAAATGGAAGCTATAAGAAGAAGAGAGTTATGTTGTTGATGGTAGGTGCTAGTCAAATTGAAACATTAAGAACCCCAAACATTACTCCGATGTTTCGCTGTCCCTGCTCCAGAAGCATTGTGTGCGTAAAAAATTATGCAATATTTACCACAAACTCAAATGTTATATTTTCGTTTCATTAAACAGCAAAGCGTGCGGCTGTGGCAAATAAACACGGATAGCAGTAGCAAGTACCAGCAAATGGCTGGACAAGAGGATAGTCCAACCAATCCTCCCCCTCAAACCCTAACCCCTAACCCCTAACATCTAACCCCTAACCGGCGGTCACGAGGACCAGTCTCACTTCGAATCCCAGTTTGTTTACCAGTTTGTTTGTGAACAGAAGGCCTTACACACAGCAGGCTTTCGGCATGCTTCTTACCACACCGCACACTCGCACACACACAAATAAACATACATAAATACTTATATACGCACACAGTTACAGGCAAACACACACAATCAGATACACAGAGACAGAGGCAGGCGCAGAGAAAAGGCAACTTAATCAGATCAATTACACATGTTTTCACTGCATGGATTGCAGGCTGGGTCTGGTCTAGTCTGGTCTGCTTTGGTCTGATTTGTTTTTCTCTGCTTTATTCTGGCCTAGCCTACCCTGGCCTGGCCAAAGCAATGGCCAATAACCAGAGCAGCGGATCCAGCTGCAAGCTGTGCCTTGGCTTAGGCCAATCGGTTGGTACCCTGGACCGCCTCAAAAACAGTGGTTGCCAATATTGAATTCAAAATGAAATCAAACATTCCAAAGAGCTTTAAGCGCATGTTCTCAGTATGCAAATAAATATATTAATAGAATGTAATCTGCATATGCAGTTTAGGGAATTGATTGAGATAAATTTTGAATTATATCGTTAATATATAATGTCTATATTATTATTATCACATACTTAACTTTTATGGGACTTACTATTCATTAGTGATACGTGTCATAAATAATAAGTTTAAGCTTATTAAGCACTGGAAAGGAAAAATAATAATTGAAAATAAAAATACATCCATTTATTCATATCATAGAATACTAGTCGTCAAAAAAAAGTTTGCTTTTTGGCTTATATATATTATTTAATTCACACAAAACAAATTATTTAAAATGTACAATATTGAAAAAAATAAATTCAACTTGTCGGCCTCTCGTGAGTAAATAAGTATTTAAAGTTTCAGCGAGTCTGTCCACAACCACTGTATATAACCAGACAAATGCTAAACCATCTTTTGGGGGGTTGGTTGGTTATTTAAGCTGGTTTTAGCTTGGCTTTCGTGTTGCGTTGACCGGACACGCTCTTGGTATGCAAGACGGGTCGGTTGGGCTAGGCATGAAAACATGGCCTCATGTCAACACTTTGCCAACTAGCCATGAATCCAGCCCCTAGCCCCTCCCTCCCTCTCTCTCTCTCTCTCTATGTGTGTGTGTGTTAGCGTTAGAGGCTTGTCAGTCAGTTTTCTAGACAAATGAAGCAAATTAGCCTAACAACGCACATGGGGACATTGTGTCCCCAACACATACACAAATTCAGTCAGTGCAGTGCTAGACTTGTCAGATGCCACCGGACATAGTCTGTGCGTGTGGTGTGTGTGTGTATGTGTGTGTATGTATGTGTATATGTGCGCTGAAGTACTGATGGCGCAAGCACTTGCTGCTAATTATGCGCTTCACAAACAGGAAGCACAATTGCGAGCAATAACAGCAACATCAAGAGTTAAGGCAGCAGCAAAATAGCAAATGTTCCTTTTTGCTGTCGTTTTAAAATGCGCTCATATGAAAAGATGAGCAGCTCAGAGATCTTAAATTGCCTGGCTGGCATTTTTAATGGACGTGTTGACTTCCCTTATACGGTAATTAAAGTGCTGCTGCTTAAAGCACTGCCGCTCAACGTGGTCAACTTGTTCAGAGTATTGATCAAGTTCGGCAAGTATTTGAATTCCAGCATTAACAGTAAATATGCACATTTTCTTGTATTTACGAATTAATGTAATAATTGTAAGGCTCGCAAGCTTGAACAGAATGTATGAATTTATGCACATAACTATGAAAACGTTGCTGCATCATGAAGGTCAATTTTCCAATCGAATTTTCATGCCAATGCGCGTGGAAAATGCTTAATTTTGGACTCTATACAAAAATTATTAAAGCCGATGAAAATTGCGCTGAACAACCACTTTAAATTTGGTCGGCAAATCAAACATAAATTTACAACACGACCTCATTACCAGCAAATATTTAGCATGCTAGTGTGTGTGTGTGTGTGTGTGTGTGTGTCTGTGTGTGTGTAGAAGTGGAGAGCACAGATACAGATACATTTGGATATTTAAGTACCTCATGGTTAGCGCGTAAATTAATGGCTAAGCCGTCGGTCACGTCGGTCGTTTTGGGCTGTGAACGTTGCCACGTTGCAAAAGGATGAAGCTGCAGATGGATGGAGACCGCAGCAACCGGCGAGCGATGGAAAGAGGGAAAGGGGGATGCGAACGTGAACATCGAGTCCATTAAGCAGCAGGCAAGAGTAAACGCCTAAACGACTAAAACGGGGAAACAGTAGACTGTAGATGGCACAGAAGGCAAAGAGGCAACGAGGCAATGAGGCAAGGAGGCAAACAGGCAAGGAGGCAAGGCAGGCACAGGATGCACGGTGAAGAGGTGCGTCGAGTGTGTCAAGTGATTAAATTTTAGCCACAAGACAAGTGCTAAATTACCGCAACGAACACAAATAAAGCAAATCAAATAACAAACAAAAACAACCAACTTGTTTGCATAATGCCAAACGCGAAATAGAAATAGAAACAACTCCTGGCCACTCCCACTACAGGTGGGTAGGCTGTGGTATCAATTGACAACGGCGCACAAACTGAATAGCCGGACATGTCTGATGTAATCTTGTGCGGATTTTCGTTGGATTAATTAAAATTGCCAATTACGAATTCATTAAAACAGCTAGCAATTTGGCCGTGTTCGCAAAATAGCTGATTGTCCCAATCGACACATGATTAATTTGTGGAAGCGACTAGAAACATTTGGACGAAGCCACTTAAAGCTTGTAAGCATCACTTCAAGTGGACAACGACTTCAATTAACTTCATCTCAATGTTCCATGATGTAATATTTTAAATGTATATTTTGTATGTTATTTCAAATCGTAGCAACATAAGCTGATATAATTATGGAATTATAATTAATAAAGATTGTTATTTGTTCGCTTATGTCTTACACAAAAACATTTTATGTTGCTTTGTATTTGCTTTGCTTATGCAAAGAAGAAGGTATATTTATACACCAAATACAAACCTTTTACCGATCTATAATCCCATTTACTGAATGAAACATAACATGTATTTGAATCTGGAAGACTATCAGCTTAATATGCAGATTTAAGAGCTGAAATTTAAAAAGTTCTCTGACTAATAATTAAATTTAGTAAATATTTCACAAAAAATTAAGTATTCGACAGATCGTTTTTCACATTGATTTATATAAAAATATTGCTTTGGATATTCGAACTTATAAAAACCTGCACATTGTTATTCGATTATTGGGCCACTACAAAAATCCAATACTTGTAAATTTTCTGACAAGTTGATTAAGTAAAATAAATGCACAGAAATTGTGAATTTAGTATACAAAATACGAAAGTAAGCTGAGAACTAGAATGGATTAGAGGGTAACTGCACGTCGAGCACTATTATTAGCTTACACACAGATATGTAGCATTTGTTTTTATTACCTCCCTACAATTTTGTGAATATTCACAACAAGTTTGGCAAACTATTCCATTGTACCGAATTGTAATATGAGTTAATTACCATTGGCGTTTACTAATTAGACAAATAAGCTGCATATGCAGCGACTTACAAATTGGCAACAGCTGCACATTATGGGCACAAGAGCTTGACCGGGCCAGCTTGTGAAAATACACAAGAAGCAGAAGCAGAAGCAGAAGAAGGAGAAGAAGTAGAAGTAGGAGGAGCAGAAGCAAAGAATAAGGAGCAGGGCGACAATGACTGAGAGAAATTTGCTGCCATTTGTTGACATGCCGGCATGGAACTGTTCGCTTCACACTGGTCCTGGCAGCCATTGTCTGTTATGGGCTGGGCAGTAAAATCAATGATGATCATTTAACACAAAGGGAAGCAGAGCAGAGCAGAGCAACTAAGAGGACCATCAGTGCCAGCTGCTTGAACACATGTCTGAGAGCTGAATCTGAATCTGAATCTGCAAATGGCTCGTCAAATTAGCAGGCCACGGAATGCGACTCAAAATGGCACAGCATTTTAATTTTCAACCGTTCCTGTTGCTGTTGTTGTTGCTGTTGTTGTTGATGTTGTTGTTGATGTTGTTGTTGATGTTATTGTTGTTGTTGTTGTTGTTGTTTACCCTTCATCTTTCGCCTCGGCTCGCGTATTTACATATTTTTAATAAGCTGCTTGCAAATCAACTGAGCGAAACAAATGCCTGTGTGTGTGTGTGTGTGTGTGTGTGCTTGTGCGTGTATATCCCTGAACTTGACATCAAAAATAAAAGAGGGGCCAAATCATATTTGCCAAACAACAAGCAATGAGAATACGAGGCTGCCTCCAGGCCAAGCAGGCAGCCAGAAAAAGCTCATATGTGCATACACTGTGCCCAAGCTAAATAAATCAGACATCCCAGACACGACCAGTGGGAGTGGCAGAACTGGGGCACAAAACAGGAGCAGGAGCAGGAGCAGCAGCAGGAGCTGGAGCAACAGCACAAACCGATGTGGCTGACAAGCCGAACAGGCAAGGTGTCTGAGTTCATGTCTGCATGTTGGATGTGAGTGAAAGTTCCCGTTGCCATTGCCCTTACCGATGCCTGCGCCCGTTGCCTGCGCCACATGACACCAGAATATGCCCCTGATGCTGAAAAAACAATGTAAAAGTAATACAATAAAATATTTGTAGGCATTTCCACAGCGCGGCGAAATCAACAAACGCACATCACTTATCGGCCGAGAATTTGGTATAATGTACAATTCGTCCTTAGAAAAATATAAATCATAAATGTGCATGTACAGATAGTTTCTTGTTTCCAGATCAAATATATATAATATATGGCATACTACTATATAAGAGATGTGTGAATGATTTTTAAATGGTATGCAGCACAAGGACAAACTTGAAGTTACTCCGTATTGTTGAAACTCACAAGGGATCCGTCCTTCTGCCCCCTGATGATGATAATATTGAGGCAGCCGGGCAAAAGCGCACTTTGCCACTGAGTACCTTAAGACTTGGTATGTTGAGACTACAGCGACAAATCGGCATTAGGCAAGTACGTTAACTGCTGATCAAATACACTTCCGCTCGTTTATCTGTGTAAATATTTGAGCAGTCGAGCTAACAAGTTACAGTACAAGTATGTATAACAATGGCTCCAGCCAAATGTAGCAGAATCAGAAGGAAATAAAGACGAAAGTCGAGGCGACAACAAATTCGAAAACTTGACATACGCCTGACTCCATCCAGCCCCCAACCATGGCCATAAATCCAGATTGCCGGCTCCAGCTTCAGCTCTTCCTTCTGCTGACACACACAATTGAATTGCTGAAGAGGGGCGCACAATCTGATGGGCGACACATTCCCAAAAATAGGCGCAAAAAATGTTGGGTGTGTCCCCAAGCATTTCAGACGTCAAAGTGTCGAATTCTAAATGTAGGCTCACTAAATGCACCTCAAAGCAAACTACTACAATAATTTAAATGGACAAGCAAGCATCCGCTTCATTATCAACTCACCTCCGCTGGGAATGCGTAGCCCTCGACGCTGTGCTCGGAGCCAAATTGATCGTTCAGTCCGTAGTGGATGTGTATCTCATGGAAACGATACCGATAAGATAGGGGACCACCAGATATATTCACTGGCGTCTGCATGCCATCGTAATTGGCCACCGTATCATTGCCGGCTGTGAAGATAACACTGTGACCCGTATTGCTTATGATGCCGCTTATCTGTCGAGTAAATACTGTAACTTAATATTCTGTATGTGAAAATTGGGATTTGCGTAAGAAAATAACCCAAGGACTATAAAAACATAATAATACAAAATACTTTTAAGGCCTACTCATAATAATCAAATTACCCTGTGTTTGTCAATATGCATGGGACGCAAATTGGGATCAAATAGCAAACGTTGCGGCTCCAGATTGACCGGCGACTGTCGACGTCCCTTGTTGCAGAGTGACCATTCCGGATTGATGAGACCCCAAAAAGCGGGACCTGCAAACAATAATTTCAATTATCAAACACAAAATTAATTGCTGTCGAAATATTTCCTCACAAAATGCGAAAGGAATGGAATGGGATTGATAAGCCAATAATAAATTAATGGCAATAATTCACAAAACGCTACAAGAATTCAGCATTGTTTAGGTCTTTGGGATATTTAATGTATCAACAAAAAAAAACCCAAAGCAATGTAAATAAGCCACCTTCAAAAATCTGCTTACAATTATTCGAAACCGAAATATAATACATATGAGTCAGGCAGAATTTAGCATCTCAACACAATTTGATTCTGGATTCTGGATTCCAGATTTTAGTTGACGTTTTCTGATTGTGATTATACTTATAACGTATTCAATTTCAGAAGCTGTTTTGCAATCATTTAGTGCTTTATACAATATACAGAGATATACATGTGTATGATAAGTCACGTATAGCAAAAGCTAAGAAAAAGATGCCAAGTTAGCATTGCCATCTGTCATTACAGGATGTTCGCCAAAAGCAAAAGTTCAAATTGTTGTATTTGACGCATATATAAAATTTACATTTTTTGCCATTTGACAAGTTTCCGTTTAAACAGATGTTTGCTGTATTTTGCAAATCTTTTCATTCAACTTATTTTGTACAGAGACTTTTGTAAACAATGAATAAATTCAACATATGAAAATACACACACACACACACACAGAGCTGGCGACATCATTGCAATTACACAAAAACGAGTCAGATAAATTAAGTTTGGGCTGAAGTTGTGAAGTTAGCTGTGAGTCCATCGAATAACTGACATCCACGATATAATTTGAAGTTAATCACAGTTGAGGAACTAAGCTTAATTCCAGCATTAAAATTATGCTTGGCAAGTTTCTCTTACTATCAAAATTCATCCATTTGAATACCTAAACAGCTTAATGTGACATCCAGCAAAGAAGTGCGCCAGTCTAGCTGATTGCTTGACACGGAATATAACTCATCGATAAGTGTATAATCATTCATGCCAAACATTTAATACATTTTTGGCATTTGCCTCAATGCCACATTGGTCCTATCTGATCCACAACTCGACTTTACCGCTGACCGCAAGCTATGCAAAATATGTTCACCAGCTGGGTTGTGCCCGAGAGAGACAGATACAGACACAGACAGAGACAGGTATGCAACTTGGGCATGAAAACTTGTGTATATGGACCTAAACGGCTAAACGAAGGCGTCCCAGCGAGTTTGCTCTTAACTAAAGCTATTAAAATATTTGTCTGCAAAGGTGTTGGTTTTATTGGGTTTTGGTTGGGTTCGGGTTGGTTCTGGTTCTGGTTCTGGTTTCGGCTTTGGGTCAGAGTTTGGCTTTGGATTTGTTTGATTTTAGCGGTGAAGCTAGCAAGAGTAGTAGAGGTGTGGATTTGTTTGTTTTGTGGCCACCAGACACCGAGCTGCCTCTGAAGCCCGCATTGATTGCTCTAATTTCATGCGGTTTACTTAGTTAACACGACACATGCAAACAGGATGAAGGACTTGTAGAAATTATGTACTTGTCTTGATTACATGCATATAATATCTGTCTGTTGAATATATAAGAAGAAAGACTTTAGAATTCCTTAGATTCTGAGCAAGAGTGCATTTTATCATAGTCTGTAAAAGTAAAAACATTTTTTGTGGAGCTCTTCAACTATTTGCTGCTTTAATGAGGTTAAGGTTTGCTTTACAGGTACAAGCAGACAGTTTTTTCGAAAAAATATATTCCTTAAACAACGATTTTAATTTTTAAATGCACCTTGAGGCATTGCTTTTAAAAATCGGTTAATTATTGACAAAGCTGTTTCAGGTAGACGAATTTTCTTCGTGCTGATTTACACGGTTAAAGAAAGCTTCGGTTGAGTTGTTTTAAGTATTTCATGGATTTCGTGGAAATGCTGACCAAATTCAATTTAAAACGTGTTTTGTAAAAAATAACAATGCAATGCTTATGTATATATGTAAGTATGTGTGTGTGTGTGTATTCGTTTGTTGTGTGCTGAGCCCCATTGGTATCTCAAAATCTGTACCAACTGTTTAAGTTGTCTATTGAGTGTTGGTATTTTCTTTAGATGCTTAAAGAAACGCTTTGATGCAACCGTATCAGAAGCTGCATGCGTGTTCCTACTAACGTGGTAAATTGCACGTTCAAAATCATCGAGCAACAAGCATCAAGCATCGAGCACCGAGCACCGAGCACCGAGCATAGAGGATTGGTAATCGGTGGCATGATGGGATCAATATGTTTTAGCGGCTATATCGACAAGCGCAATCAAAAGCTCAAATCAAAGATATGCCACGTATTCGCGCTTAAACGATTGTTGACCTCAGGCAACATTAAGAGGGAAAGGGAGTGACATATAAACAGACAAGCAGAAAGAGATAGAGAGAGAGAAACAGAGAGAGAGAGAGAGACAAAGTGCATGTTAAGTCTATTAAATTGCGGGTTGTAGTCGAGTCAATGAGGCAATTGCCAAACGATTTTAGCAGCCATTAACAACATTAGTGGCCGGGGCCGAAAGTCTGTTCGGGTTTCAGATACTATGCTAACTGAACTGCATTCGGAGTGAACTGCGTAGCCATCGCTTAAGCATACATATATATTTGACTTGCATTTATTTGGCTCGTTGCTCGTGCAAATCATGTTAAGCCACCGGCACGTTCCAAGCAAGCAGACTCAGCAGCAGCAGCAGGAGCAGCAGGAGCAGCAGCACTCTGTGCCGCATTAGACGCGCTTTAAGCGCAGACCAAGCAACTGTAGCCGAGAGCAGTTCTTATTCCCAGTCCCATTCCCAATCCCAATAGTTGAAGCTGGTGCTGGTGTTGGTACTGGTACTGGTGCTGATGCTGGTGCTGATGCTGCTGCTTTACCAATTTCAGTCCCACTGCAAGTGGCAATCCCACAGGGCACTCTCTGGCATCAACACGGGCCTCAACACCAGCATCGCTTTGCAGCGATAGCACTCATGTAGTATGCCATGCTTATGCAAATTTATTTATGCCAAAGAGAGACAAAGTTTTGCACGGATTTGGTTGCAATTTGTTGACAACACGTGTTGCAAAAACACCATCGACTGCTTTACAGGGGCTTACACTAAAGGTGTGCGCTTGTTTTAATACCCATTGCACTTCAAGCTTGCATTGTCGGTTCGCCTACCACTCTCACATATCCGGATCAAACTGGCAGATAGATATTAATGCAATATGATATATTACTCGCACTTACAGGGTATTTTTTAGTTGAGCATTTTCGCCACAATATTCTTACTGTTCTCCCTCTCTCTTAAAATTTGGGTGTTTTCGCATTTTTTCCAACTTGGTCATAAATACATATTTAAACAAGAGTGCTCGACTCAAGGCGGTGTCCAACTAGGCGATACCCTGTACTTAAACACTCAAGACCTTGCGACTATGATACTGCGAAAATAGTTTCCCGAATAACAACAACAAAAATAGTAGCAATTAAATTGAAGCCCAGACAGACCGGCATACGAACATATTCTCCTCACACTCCAGCTTTCCGTCGAGGGAGGGGAGGAGGGGCTGTTTTGTAAATATATCTTTTTTTTTCGTATAATCTAATAATTAATAGCTTAGTATTATATTACAGATATGCTTTGTAAAGTTAGGTCCGGCTTGTTGCTTACAAAACGGATCTGCATTTGCTGGGAACTGGTTAAATGATAATTTTTTTTGATAATTTGCATAGATCTATTAGAGCAGTAAAGTATTGCGTGGTCGGTGAACTGCCGACTGGAACTGTCATCCTTGCTCTTCTTGGTTGTAAAATCCAATTCGCAATTCAAGGCACTTGAACTTATTTATGCATTTGTCTTGTGCAAATGGCATCGCCGTTGTCTCTAATGAGATTAAAACGAACGGCGAAGTGAGCCAGTTGAAGGCGAAGAGGTCGATGTGGATAGAAAGAGTAAAGGCGATGGGAACGGGAGCAGGAATGGGAACGTAGACATACTTATCTGGCGTTTTCTTCGACTGGACTGGCAGACAGGACTGGCGTCAGGCCATAATCTCCCAGGACGCATTCACGTTGCCCTGTTGACTTCTGACACAATGAATTTTTATTTTTTTTTTTGCCCAGACATAGAATAAGCGTGAGCTGGACAGAGATGTGAGTGTGGAGCGGAGTGTCTGAAGTGGGTTTGATTGCAGCGGTTGCCAATCAAGATTCCAGACTCAGACTTAGACTCAGACAATGGACCAAGTTACAAGAGGTCGAGTTTTTGTCATGACCAGATTTCGTCATCATTTCCACCTTCTCTTGGTTTGACTGTACAATTCACGCGTGCAGTTTGTGTCGCTTGTGGAAACGTTTCGCAACAGCGACAAGGGAAAAGAATCGGCAACTGGAGAAAGGCGGCTGCCACTGCTACTGCTTTAAACTCCAAAAAGTATGCTATGTTATTTCATGCAAACATTGCTGCAGACTCCAGGTTGCGTACATAATACATGCAAACACACATATGTATATATATGTGCACATGCGAAGGTGTGCAAAATGCAATTCGATGTCGGCAGCTCTCGTGTGGCAAGCAGACGCACCACATGCCGCTCCACGCAGTTGGGCCAAGTTTGTATTTATTTCTTTGCATATAGGACAAACAGAACGAGGCGTCTCTGATCTGCCCAAAATGTATCTATGTATGAGGTTCACTATTAGACGATGCTGATAAGGCATGAAATATTGTATATATATATGAAATATTGTATATATATATATAACATAATACATTATGCATTAGAGTTATACAATTAACAAAGGAAAATTTAAAATATACAAGTTTGACAAATACTCGGCTTTAAGTTTTTAATTGTTATTGTGTACGCAACAAGTTGATTGGATTAAAAAGAACATTGTCATATCCGTTGCAACAGGGATTAGTAAATTTAATGAAAAATAATTGCATACTTGCGATGCATTGCATTCCAATCCAATAACAAACACAATTTTTTGTTGGTTTTCTATTTGGCTACCAGCAGCAGAGTTATATATATACGAGTATATATATATATATATATATATGTGTGTGTGTGTGTGTGTACATTGTCCGTCTTCTAGTCGAGCAATCCCGACAAGGAAATATTGTTTTATTGTTTTCGTTGCAGTTGATTTTGTTGCCATTTTTGTTGTCGCCGTAAGCTTTGATTCAAATTTACTTTGTTGTTGCTGGGATTTATGAGCACGCAGCCAGTTGATTGGCGGTATAGGAAGATGTGCCGTAAAAAATTACAGCTGAAAAAGTTGGCCCAAAGCGCATTCGACGTGGGCAAGCAAACAAACATTGGGTGAATATTTGAACTGAGCAGAATTCAGGGCAGCTTCTCAAGGTGATAACTTACCTGAAATGCCATCGTAGGTCCACCACTCCTCCCAGCTAACTGCATGCAGAACTGTAACGAAAGTAAACACAAAAGCAAAACGTCAATTGATTTCACACCCAATTTATATTCGCAGCAGTCCAGGAGTCGCACTCAGATAAGCGACACTCAAACTTAAAGTAATACATATTTATATAGAGACAAGACTAAAGCTACGCTTACATTTGGACACTGCAGCCAAGAAGGAACTGCGAAAACGTTTGAGATAGAGAAAGACAGCAAGTAAGATAGAGAGCGAGAGAGATTAATGATTACCGTAAGTTACACAGACTAGAAATAAATAACGAAATTGGCTTACATATACATACAAATACATACGTCAATAAATGTGCATAACAATGTTAGTTTGTATCCAAAGAGATCACTTGGACACAAGCACAGTATACAACGCAGACGGCAGATACCCTAACAATTTGCAATCTAGCTAGTGAGCCAGATATAATAAATATATATACAAAATATAAGATACACTTTTCACAGACTTTAAGCAAATCTGCAAAAATTATTTTCCGGTAAAAACAATATTTCAAAGAAAAAATAGATAAAATGCACATTTGAATATTAATATTTAACAGCTTTGGCTGTGGGCAATTTAAACATACCTAACTGAATTGCATTATTGTCTACATTAAATTTTAGTTGGCACCCACCCACCCACACACACATAACCCATATGTTTGAGTACACACGTAATTCACATTCGCCTACACCTTCTAGAAGGCAACCCGCATAAGTGCTATTTATTGTTTCTTATTCCATTCCTACGGAGGAGGGTCTTACAACGTTTCCACGCTGTGTGTAATGGCTTCAAAAAATGTTCTCAGCATCGGAAAACTATAAAGTATTTTATGAAACTTAAAAAATTGATGTGGAAAAGCCATACTTACGAATATTAAATTAAATATTAGGGTATTTAAGGCTATTTAATTTACAGCATTCAGAACAGTTTTTTTCATTTTTTTTTGGCAGATGTTTCTTTGAAGGGCTTTCGAGTCAATCCTTTGCTTGCCTTAAGTATTGCTTTTTTTTGTGATTGCCTTTTTAAGGCGAGAATATACGCACATATATCTTATATATATTTATATACATATATATGTATATACAGAGAGAGCGGGTGAGAGCTCTTGAAATGATTTTTGCTTACTTGCCTTTTAATATTTTTTGCGCAGTAAATTTACTTCCGTCACTTGTTAACTTTAACATTCATCGACAGTTTTGCCATTGGCAGCGCTGTCGCTGCACTTACTGCTGGTGTTGTTGTTGCCAAAGGCCAAAAGCACTTTGTTATTTTGACAACCGACAAAAAGCGGGGTCAAATCCAACGCCCTCAGCTTGCCCAGACCCAGACCCAGACCCAGCTGCGATTCAAATCAAAGTCAAGAAACGTTGAGTCATTAAAAAGCGCTGCTCATTTCGAAGCCCAACATTGCACAATGTGCAGCTCTAAGTGCAGCGTACCTTTCGCACTAATGCAGCGAGAGTCCATCAGTTAGGTTACAAAGCTCATAATTTACTTTATAAGGGAGGCAAAAGGTTATTTTCTTTTTAATATGTGTACATGAAGTGTATTTGATACTCAACTACTTCACAGTCAATTTGACTATTCTTAATTCTGAGATTTAAGTTTTCCATAAATATTTAAAGATAAATTGCATTCAAATCAAAGTGTATCTAAGCTTCGTGATTCAACGAAATTATTCTCCCGTTGAGAGTTCCTTCTATTGATTTTCAAAAAAATAAAAAAATTAAGTAAAATGAAAACCAAATTCCTGCAGCCGACATGCAAAAAAAAACTTGACACAAGTCGGAGGCAACGAAAGGCGAACAGTTTTAGGGTTGTTGGTCTTTCAACAATAATAACAATTATAACATGTGTACATTAGAGCAAAATGCTCGACTGACCGCTACCCTGTGCCAATATCTAAAGAACACCGAAATGTGTATTGTATTTAAGTTTAAGCTGAAAATACAATATTATATCAATATAAAGTTATTGATATTCAGTAAGAAGCTAAATGAAATCAAACCGCTTATTCAGACAGACCTATTGGACTAAGTAGATATAATTACAAATCATATAAGGATACCTTTCGGTACCTTTTGGTAAGCAGGGTATGAAAACATTTATGCAAAGTCACGGACAATGATGAAAATAAATGGATTTCAAAATGTTCGCGTCATTGCAACGCGAAATGCTCGCACTTTTGAGTGCCGATTCAACCGCTTGTCCTCACCGACAAATTGCTGCTATACATATGTAAATGTATGTATGTATGTATGTATGTATGTATATACAAATTCATATGTTCGTGCACAAACATCAAAGCCGTAGCTTTAACTAACGCTTCAATACTAATTTCATTATAATGCCATTGTAGATAACCATTGAACTGCATTGCCCAAAATCCCCCCAGTTCATTTTCATTTTTCATGCCTGCATTTTTTTTTTCTGGACCCCATTTCCCAATTGACGTCACCTATTGCGAGGTGATGTGCTCCCTTCGCTTATACGTAATTTATTTGTTTGTATGTATGCATTTGTGTACGGCTGTTTCCACAAATTTCAACATCTGCTGGCCTAAAAGTTTTTGTACTTGGTTGTATGCTGTTTGAGAGGCTTAAGCGAATAGTTGTGCAATAAAATTCATTTAGTTTTCTACAAAAAAAGTGTAGCTTTCATTTACTCAGATTTATAACTAAGTGATATTTATATATTAATCTATATTTTCTTCATATATCACCTATCTGTCACCTATCACATAGCTGTTTGCAGTAGTTAAAATTTGAGTTCTGAAGCCAGGGTTTGACCATGATACTTCTTCCGCTGACGAAATCTGTCTCGTTATCTTAACAATTGACTGGCAGCAGTCTTAAACTTTGTATGCTCTGGTGAAACGGGGTTATTGCAAGTAAGCCTTTGCCAAAGAGTGGACATTCCTGTATGTAAAATGCTTTCGTGCTGGCTTCGAATGGATTTGGGTGGTTCTCGTATCTTCTTTCTCTTTCACCTTTAATGCACCATTTCGTGGCAGAAGCAGAGATGCCATTGCAAGCCCAGCTGGAATTTAAGCTTTGTTGTGAAATGATTGTGTAAGCCTTGGCAATTTTAAGTAGTGCATGGCAATAACAAGTCAATCTCAGTTTGCGATTTGGACTTTGCACAGTCCGCTAAGAGCCCTTGGATTGAGCCTTACATCATTTCCAAGTAAGCCAACACAAAAAAACTCTGTCTCCTAGTCGAGTATTATATTCAAGCTTTACAAGGATTCAATCCAAACTGAACAATAAAGCTCAAGCGATCTTGCTCTTCGAAACTTATGTGTATATATATGTATATACATCATATTTGTACAGGCAGAAGTGTATATATATGTGTGTGTGTGTGTGTGTGCACGACTTTCTCCAAAACGCACAAAAATAGATAATGTAAATTTGCATATGACGCCCAAAACAAACTGTGAGCCGCGCTAAAAAAACTTGGGCTGGTTTAGTTAGTGATAGTGATAAATATAATCAAATTGGGTAAACATAAACAAAATATTATGTTACCCATACATTGAGGCGCTGGTGACATGGCGTGTGCCCTAAGCAAAAGTACAACAATAGCAACAGCAACAACAACAATAACAGCAGCAACAACAGCGGGGGACAGAGGAAAAAACAATCAGCTAAAATGGCAAAAGGCTAAACTCACGACAGCGTGACTAAAATGCGCACGTCAATCCTTTTTTTCTTTTTTTTTTTTTGTATTTTTGTTGCTGTAGTTGTGGCAGCCAGGGTGCGGCAGGACTCAAGGCAAACAGGGACGCACGAGACAGGATGCGGCTCTGCCAAGCTAACGTGTTTTTGTATGTGATGACGACGACAACGACGACGACTGTGGCAAACAAGTATCAGCCAAAAACCACTTTCAGCGATTTGCTCGGCCAAATAGATACCCTGCATACACAAAAAAAACACAATCAATAATTACGAGCCTAAAAGCGACGACATAAAAACATATATTTTATATCAACTATGCTGTTGGGCAAACAAAATTCACTTTTTTGATGGCGTTTAAGGAGCTAGATACTCTGCATAAAGTCATAGATAACCAAACCAATACCAAAATATTTACTTATAATTTTAGAAATATCGAGCGGATTAGGGACATCGATATTTACAGGCGATTTGTGCGTCATTGTGTTTTATGTGTTAAGGAAAAAAAACATTGTCTATCATTAATATACCCAATTTATTCATTTAATGGATATAGGGCAGAATAAAAGAAGCAAAGGAGGCGAAGACAATTGAGCGCCAATAAAGTGTCACCATTAATTTCCGGCGTTGTAAACAAGTGGACGACGATGTGTTCCTGCTTCCTCCCATTCCCAGTACTGAAATGTGAGTGAGCGCCATTGAAATTGAAAGTCATGAACAGAAAGGACAGCCAACGGGGGACACAGGTAGCGATCGGGACACTTAGCACGCCGTCCCAATAACAATAACCGCCCCCCAAACAATTAACGCCAAATATTTCAGGTTATTGGCTCTAAACTGCAGTCAGCCAGTCAGCCAGTCAGCTAGCTGGCATCTGTAGCAGACGCCAAGGCAGACAAACTGTTGTTGTCCGGACGACAAGAAATGATAAGAAAATTTCATTTCTAATTAATAGTAAAAGGCGCGACAGCAACTAATAAAACCAACAACAAACCGACGAGGAGGAGCTGGGACCTGGCCATGAAAACAGGGCTGCTTTGTTCGTGAACTTTACGGGAAATGGAAAACCAGCCACGGGAAACGTTGGACGCCCAACATTTTGGAAGAAACTGACATGCAAATTATTTATAATTTGTGATTTAATTCAAGCAAGATTGCTTTTGACCCTTAAGACGCCTGCTCTATTAAACCAAAAAGGAATATGAATCCATTTGATGCCGATATGAGTATAAATACTTGTAGATGTGAGCGAATGGTTTTCCCAGTATAGAACAAATTAATGTGAATGCTTGTCCAATATACTCACAAACGAG